CACCAGCCCTATGTTTCACTGTAAATACCCATTTACATCCAACTGGTTATTTTCCCTCAGGAAGATCCACCAATTCTCACGTACCATTTTTATGTAATGCATTAATCTCTCATTGCATCTGTCCATTCAGGCACTGAGAGAGCTTCTGCCACATTCTTAGGAGTAGGGACACTATCAATAGAAGAGAGGAATGCTCGAAAGGAAGGTGAAATGTTTTCATAGGAAACAAAGTGGGAAATGGGGTGCTTGGTGGTGCAAGATCTAACACCCTTTCGGAGAGCAATAGGAAGGTTAAGATCACCAACACTTGAGGTATCAATAGCAATAGGGTTAGAAATATCAATGGGAGCTAAGGTACCTAGATGGGTAGGATCCGTTCTGGAGAATGTGATGGCATTGGTGGTACAACTTCTTGATGCTCCATAGCTCTTGAACTTGGTTGGCCTTTGTGATGATGAAAGAAAACACGAAAAGAAGGAGGGTTGGGTAGAGGAGGGAGCTAAATCTGAGGTAGAGGAGGATTTTGAAACTATTTGTCCTCATGCCTACACTTCCCCCTGAGGAGAAACAGAAAAGAAATGTTGACTCTCAAAAAAGGAGACATCCATGGAAACATGATATTTCCGAGAAACAGGATCAAAGCACTAGTACCCCTTCTGATTTGTAGGGTATCCCAAGAATATGGAAAGAATAGCACGAGGATCTAATTTCCCACGAGTGGGTGACAGGTTTTGAACAAAGCAACGACAATCAAAAACACGAAGAGGAATAGACAAAAGAGGAGCCTGGGGAAACAGAAGCTGATGTGGGGCTTTGTTCTCTAACCACCGAGAGGGCATACGGTTAATGAGATAGGCAACACAAAGGATAGCTTCAAGCCAAAAACATTTGGGGACATTCATATGAATCAATAGTCCCCGAGCTACTTCAAGAAGATGGCGGTTCTTTCTTTCAGCAACACCATTTTGTTGTGGTGTTCGAGCACAAGAGCTACGGTGGAGTGATCCACGTGAAGCAAAGAACTCCATAAGATCGTTATGGAAGTATTCTTTCGCATTATCAGAATGGAAGATCTGGATTTCAGTTTGAAATTGGGTGAAAATCATTCTTTGGAAATCTTGGATAATTTTCGGAACTTCATCCCTAGTTCGCATGGGATATACCCATGTATATCGAGAATAATCATCAATAAAGGTAATAAAATACTTGTAGCCACTTTCAGATGGTAAAGTAACTGGGCCCCAAACATCAGAGTGAACAATATAAAAAGGAAATTCAGATTTATTATTCTTCGAAGAAAAGTGAGTTCTACAATGTTTACTCAATTGACAAGTTTGACATACCAACTCTGACACTGACACAAACTTAAACGATTCTGGAAACACAATCTTTAAGGAATCAAAGGATAAATGACCAAGACGATTGTACCATAAATAGGTTTGACTCTTAATAGACTAACTCTTAGACTCTATGACTGCAAGGTCAGCCTAGAAGCCAAGTTGTTAGTGTGCATCTGCCGCTTTGTTGTGGTTGGCGTGAGAAGTAATGGAAATAGTTGTGGTTGGCGTGACAGTGCATCTGCCGCTTTGTTAGTGCGCCCTGCCTTGTATTCAATGAGATAATCGTAGCCGAGTAATTTGGCTATCCATCGCTGCTGTTTCGGGGATAGAACTGACTGCTCCAACAGAAATTTCAGGCTTTGATGCTTAGTTTGTATGATGAACCTCCTCCCTAGAAGGTAGGGTCGCCGCCGCTGAACTGCGAGGACAATTGCTATCAGTTCTTGTTCATATACTGACTTGGCCCATTTTTGTGTTGTCAATGCTTTGCTGAAAAACGCTAGTGGTATTCCTTCTTGCATGAGAACCGCACCCACTCCCTGGCTTGATGCATCACATTCAATGATTAAGTCCTTTGAGAAATCTGGAAGTGCGAGCATTGGTGGGGACGAGACAGTTGTTTTGAGCATCTCGAAGGCCTACTGGGCCTCCATAGTCCAACATAATCCATTCTTCCCGAGTAAACTTGTCAAGGGGGCAGCAATCAGTCCATACCCTCTGATGAATCACCAGTAGTACTCTGTTAGACCCAAGAAGGCCCGTAACTCCTTAACATTTTGAGGTTGGGGCCAATTTATCATGCTTGAGATCTTTTCCGGGTCTGTCGCTATAGTTCCGTTTTCGACTATGTGCCCCAAGTAGTGTACTTGAGTTTGGCTGAATGCGCACTTTGACTCCTTTGCAAAGACTTTATGAGTCCTTAGTAGTTCCAAAGTGATTTGTAGATGCACTAGGTGTTCGTCCCATATAGCGCTATATACAAGTATATCATAAAAAAGCTAGTGTAGATTTGCGCAAATGGGGTCGAAATATATCATTCATAAGTGCTTGGAACGTAGCTGGCGCATTGGTCAACCAAATGGCATGACCAAAATTGCATAATGCCAATTGTGTGTACGAAAGGCAGTCTTGTGGATGTCACCCTCATGGACCCGAATTTGATGATATCCCGATCTCAAGTCTAGTTTGGAGAATATTGTGGCCCGACCGAGTTCATCTAGTAGTTCATCGATTATCGGTATGGGAAATCGATCTTTCACAGTAATGTTGTTCAGGGCCCTCTAGTCTATACAAAACTGCCATGTCCCATCCTTCTTTTTCACAAGTAATACCGGTGAGGAGAATGGGCTATGGATGGGTTGTATAATTTTTTTATCAAGCATATCTTGCACTTGTCTTTCAATCTCTAGTTTTTGAAAATAGGGGTAATCATAGGGCCTTACATTCGTGGATGCCGTTCCAGGCAACAAGGGAATGCAATGATCATGGGCACGTTCCGGTGGTAGTTCCTTAGGCTCTTGGAAGATCACTGGAAACTTCTGAAGTAATTGTTGTTGTTGTATGTGGGCTTCTGCAGATCTGTTGGAGTTACTTCCTTGGGCTTGAATTGGGCCGTTCCCGTGGGAGTCTATTTGCATTAAAATGATGTGGGCTAGATCTGCCGCCTGTTTTCTTAGAGTGGCGAGGCTAATGGGCCCTGGATCCTTGGACATCTGCCCTTGAATATTCACCTGTGATTTTCCCACTTGAAAGTCCATTGTGAGGCGGGCCTAGTCACATATCACCGGCCCTAGTTGCCTTAACCATTGGACTTTGTGAACTACATCTGCTCGACTGATTTCTAGGGGATGTAGATCTACCTCGAACTCGTGTCCTTGTATCTTTAGTTTTAATCCTGTGCATGTACTGTCACACACCAGGTTGCTCCTATTAGCTACGTGCACCTAGAATGATGTGTATGGTTGGACCGGAATCCCTAGTTGTCTGACCAATGTTTGAGTAATGAAATTGAGGGTGCTGCCACTGTCTATAAGAGCCGACACATGGTGCCCTTGTATCAATCCGGTTACTCTCATAGTTTGAGAGGAGGCAAGACCGGTTAAGGCTTGCAGGGATACTTCCAGATATTCTTTTGTCCATTGCTCCCATTCTGGGTTGTCCACTGGCTCGTCGATGTCTGTTGATTCCTCTGCGTTTTCGGTTTCGGGCTGAAGGATGAATACTTGCTGGATCATGCAGCGATGGCCCAATCCAAATTTGTCTCCACACGCATAACAAAGGCTCTTTTCTCATTAGGCTTGCATCTCGACCCAGGTTAACCTCTTGGCTGGGTCGAGTGGGCCTGAACCGGAGTTGGCTTCCTTGCTTGTGATTCTCACTCCTGGTTTGGACTCCGGTTTACCCAAGATACCAGGTTCCGGATTCGGTATACCTGGTGTGACCGCTGCTCCCAGAGGTTGATTAATCCTTCTTGCCCGATTCAGTTTGTCTTCGTGAAGTCAAGTTAATGCTGCTGCGTCAAGAATGGTGGTGAGTTGCATGGCTTTAACCTCCAGCCGCAGTTCTTCCTTTAGTCCACCGACAAAACTGCTGATCAATGCGTTTTCTGGCCACCCTTGCACGCGCATAGCTAACCTCTCGAACGCCATCTGATAATCTTGGATGGAGCCACTTTGTCGTAGCTTGGCAAGGCTTTCATCATAGTTTTCAAAAGCCGAGACACCAAATCTCATGGTTAAGGCATCTGTGAAGTCTGCCCATGTGGCTCTTGGGTGCCGTTGCCAGTACCACTGGTACCAGACGATCACCTCTCCTTCTAGGTGCGCGGAAGCTAGTGGAACACGACCAGGTCTAGGCGTATCATGGTAATCGAAGTACCTTTCGGTTTGCAGAAGCCAGGACGTGGGATCCCCTCTTGCGAAGACGGGAAACTTGATTCTTGCCATTCTGATGGTTCTTGATCCGCTTTGATGACTAGTGTCACTGTGTTCTTCTTGCCCTTCCTGTTTCGGTGGTGTCTGTTCCAGTCACCCAAGAAAGGACGTGAAGCTCTCCTTCATTTCTTTAATGTCTGCCGATAATGTTCGCATTTTTCCTTCCATGTTGTCGACTCTGTTCTCCATCGAGGATGACCTTGTGCTCGGCATCTCAGCTCTGATACCAACTTGTTTGGTAACTGCCTAACTTAGGGCTTTTTGAGGAAGCCTGCCCCCTCGCGCGCGAGAGAGAGAGGGAAATTCCTTTCCTTATTTATAACACTCGGTTACAATTATGTTATATCAGCCTCTCCATTGTGCTGTAGGGATTTTCAGGCTACGTTAGCTATTGTTGGCCATTCTAAAGTGCAGTTCCTTTGTTATTTAAGTGGGGAGACTTGGGTTTGTGATGCGACGTGAGTGCATTGTGGTTACTTACTTGAGTGTCTATGGCACAATCTCCATAGGGCCTGAATCCATATACTTGCACCTAGAAAAACTTCACTATGTTTATATTAGTCTTTGAAAAGGAAATTGTGTCAACTGAAGGAAGGAGGCTGTGAGTATAACTTCTTGATTGTACTTATATTTGCGAAGGATAAATCTCTGAAAGATAGCTAGTCTAGGAAACCTTTTATTATGATTATATTCTATATTTATTTGATTTTCATTCACTTTTTACTAGGAGTCTGAAGTGCGTGAAGCAAGGAAGTTAAAGTCCTCGCATGAGAACAAAGAGTTATTAAAGGAGAAATTTTTGGAAGAAAAGAACCGCAGGGAGAGGGCAGAATCTGAGTTGCTTAAACTACAAGATGTCCAGCTGAGTGCAAAGAAGTTAGAGGATGAATTAATGTCATGGAAATTGGCGATCCATGAGATTCCCGGTGTTTCTTGTCCTGATGATATTATCATTAAGTTTTCAGGCTTGCAAAAGTAATTTCTTAACCTTTTGTTCTATCCTTTGCATATCATTTATGGGAATTCCATTTTATTGCACTATAGATGAATGATTCCTTACACTAACTCTGAATTTCCTATGGTAATTTACTTTTAATTGGATTGTGGTTTGAGATATGAAATCACCATCTACTAAAGTAATAGAAATTATTAGTATTGTTAATGGTGACCGCCATTAAACCATATCATTTAGGCCATGCATAGTTGCCTAAGAAATGTAGAAATGTAGGGATTTTATAATGCTTTTTCTAGAATGAACTGAGTTGTGGTTGGTTGGTTGGCCAAGGTAGCTTTTGGGCCCTGGTGTAAGATTTCCTGATTTGGAAAATAAAGATGCAATTAAGGATATGCAGGCACAACAACCAATGTTAGAACACCCGTGGGAGAGAAATCAGATTTTACAGTTATGATGGGCCTTCACCAAGGTTCAACAGGTAGCCCTGATTTATTTGCACTGATCATGGATGAATTGACTAAGCATATCCATGAGGAGGTCCCATGATGCATGTTTGCTGATGACGTCGTTCTAATTGATGAAACCAGCAGAGGATTAAGTGCAATATTAAGCTTATTGACAAATTCCTTGGACACGAGATTATAATGTAAGACTAAAACAGAATATATGACATGTAAATTTAAGAACAATGGAAATGCAAATCAAAGTTGAAGGCAGTACTCGTTGTCCTATTGTAATACTTTATATATAATATGAGATATCATGTGTTTCTTATTTCTTGCTTGAATTTCTTGTTTCTTTAACTTGCCCACCTAAAAAGGGAATTTGTGTAAATGTACATATTTTATGCCCATGAGCCCATCTCAATAAAACATTGCTCTTTTGGGGTGGGGCGTTCATTTGAATTCGCCCCTTAAACTGTTTATCTCTTCTTCTTTGCTGCATACATGAAAACCCTTATAGGCTGACAAGAGTACACTTAGGATTGGAAACCAAGAGATAACTCAATGTGACGTTTTTTGGCACCTTAGTTCAATTATTCATTGTAAGGAAGAGATTGTGGATGATGTTGTCTGTAGAATTAGAGTAGGATGGGCAAAATGGAGGGGGTGCATTTCGAGTCTTTTGTGATAGGGGAATACTACTTAGATGAAAAGGAAAATTCTATAAACAATTGTAAGGCCAGCTATGTTGTATGTATCTAAGTGTTGGGCAGTCAAGAAAAATATGTCCAGAAAATGAGAGTGGCAGAAATGTATGCTAAGATAGATGAGTGGAAAACTCGCAAGTATAGGATTGGGCAGTCTTAGGAACTTAGAAGTAGTTCCAATAGGTGATAAAATGAGAGGAAGTAGACTAAGATGATTTGGTCATATGCATAAAAGACATCAACATAACGAGTAGAAGAAGTGAATCAAGCGATTGTCACAAGTTGAAGGGGGTAGAAGGATAAGTGGTAGACCTAAGCGGACATGGGTAGAAGTAGTAACTAGTAAGATACATGTAGCCCTCACTGTGCGCCTTGTGCTTTTAACACAGTCATTAAATTGAACAGCCTGGTGAAGCAAGATACATGTAGCCGTCCCAATATAGTTCGGATAAGGGCTTGGATGATGAAGAATCATCTCTAGTAATGGTTCAATATTTTTTGATCCAAATGCATTCAAAGACAAGAAAGTTTGTTGGATCTGCCTTTACCTATTTCACACTGCAATCTGCTACAATAATTTTTGGAACTCCATTGCAAACAAACAACTTTTTGAAAAAGCAGATTTGCATCTTCAAGGCATTATGTCTCTGAGCATGAATGAAATGCACCTTATATGCATAGTTTTCGAGGAGTCAAGCGACCAAGGTGAACTTGGGCACCCACTTAGGCATTGCTTGTTGTCCTTGTTGTCTGTCTGAACTTCTGGTCCATCAATGTATCTTCTCAAACCTATTCTGTGAACAGAAGACAGAAAGTGAAACATCCATAATTCTACATCAATGTTTTAAAATGCGGAGGCGTGACGTGAGGCGTTCCACTAGCTAGAGGCATGAGGTGTAGTTCAGAGCGTAAGAGGCATCAATGCTTACGCCTCCTTAAGAGGAAGGGGGATGAGGAGGAAGAAGAGGCAGAAGAATCTCATTTTTCTTTATTTTTAATAAAAACATTTTATATTAAGAAGAATGAAGATGCATAACACTAGTTAAAGGGGGGGGGGTTCTTGTCGAAAAGGGGGCCTTTCGCCCCCCAGCCAAGGGGTCTGGGGGCTTAGACGCCGGCCCACTTTCTTTTCCCTTATCTTTTCTTCTATTCCCATTCCTTTCCTTTCCTTTTCTTTCTTTTTCTCTTTTTTGTCTTCTCTTTCTTTCTTTTTCTTTCTCTTCCCGTTCTTTTCCTTTCATTTCCTTTTTTTTTTCTTTCTTTTTTCTTTTTGTCTTTTTACATGAGGTGTGCGTGAGGCATATGCCTCAGAGGTATCAGTGCCTTTGGCATATGCCTCAGGGCGTTTTGGGGGCACCTCGCCTGGAGGCGTGCCTCTAGGCGTACACTTCCCACGCCTTTTAAAACACTGTTCTACATTTAATTGATTGTTCCATCAAACTTTACTGACAGTATTGATAGACCCTCTAACAGAAGCTGTAAACAAATCAAATGGGCTCTGAACACTCACTTAGTTCCTCTAATATGAAACTAGAGGTTGTGATTATGACCCAAGGAGGTAGCAGTCACAAGTGAAGTTTTTCTCAGATTCTCATCATATGACCGATAGACTAGAGGGCCCTATATATTGAGACCTCTAGCACACAACGTTACAAAATTTTACTGTTGGAAGGGAGAGCCCTTCTAGTCTGTGAATTTACCAATGATCAAAGGACAAGCTTCCTGCAGGGTAGGATTAGTTGCCCAGAAATTATCAACTACCCTGCCAGACATTGACCACACCAAGCAAATAAATAGCTGACATGGGAATAGTTTGATTAACTGTAAATAAGCTTAAGATAGGACACACGACAAAGATATTTACCCATTGGTGTATGCTATGCCATTGGCCGTAAGATTTATCCATACACCAAGGCTATTCTGAACTGAAGGCATCTGGCCACTCAGATAAACATCTCTCTTTTTAGAAGCCACTATACAAGACATCATCTAAAATACAGATGTCTAGAGACTTGGACAAGTGAAATATACATGAGTTAGTGGAGAGAAGGTCTATTCCCAAATAACCCATATGTCATGGGCTTCTGTGTGTATGTCTCAAACTGGACCAATGATCAGATTTAGTGGTGATAAATTGATCCAACAAAATCTGAAATGTAGGGGGCTCTGTCTAGGTTCAAAGTATGTACCTCTATTCAACTATAGACGTGGCCTGCTACCTCAGAAATATTAAAAGCAGACCAGATTTTGGACTGGTGAAAACAGTCCCAAGAAAACCTTGAAAATTCATGAAAAAGATGTACTGATCGCTGGAAACATACTCTACCAAAGGAGAATATAAGATTGAAGCAAGGAAAAAAAAAATAGATCTTCCAACCTGTATGCCTCCTTTCCAAAAGAAAGGACAAAAACTATCTTCCTTCTTAGTCCAGAGTCCAGATGTGTGACCCATTTAACCTATTCTAGGTGTTGAAACCTCCTTTGATACCATGTAATCTAAGCAAGACACCTCATGAAACTAGAGATAATGATGGAGCAATGGAAAACCAATATGGAGAGAATACGTGTCATTCTTGTTAGTTCAATAATAGTTCGATGAATCTTTTGTAGGTTAAACCGTGAGTCTTGCTTTTACTTAGTAAATTGCTGTCCATTTGTTTGATCCAACTACTTTAGATGGCCTAACGTAAGGGGGCAATAATGTTGAGTTGTACAATGTGTCAATGGTTGCCATGATTTGGACAATTTGGGAGGGAATTCTGTTCAAGGTTGTTAACTGGGTGAAGAGTATTGAGTTCTTTTCACCTTTCTTTTTCAATGGAAGTGGGCTGAAGTAGGGGTGTCAATTGGACCGGATTTGGTCGATCCAATCTGATGAATACTTAGGACCATTTTGGACTGGTTCCAATTCACTGTCTGTACCGTCCAATCTGTTCAAATTGGTTTTAATTTAGATTTGTTCCAATCCAAACATGGTCCATTGACACCTGTATTCTTATTTTCTATCAGTGGACCAGATATTGGTTCAATCTGACCCAATCCAATATAAATCCATTATGGATGGACCAGGTCCAATCCAATCCAACAGATACTTTGGACCATTAAGTCTGGACTGGTCCAATTCAATATGTCTTATTGGTCCATTCAATCTATCCAAATTGATTTTGATTTGGATGGGGTCCAACCCAAAACCAGTCCATTGACAGCCCTAGGCTGAAGTGGTGGGGTCTAGTTCAAAGAAGGTAATGTAAAAATGGGTTGCACCGGAAGGGGAATTTATTTAACTTAGTTTTGATAGCAGCAGTTTAGGAAATCTGGGGCCTTCGAGGATAGGTGGGGACTTTAGGGATGAAGATGGAAATGTCATAGCTATGTACTCAGGTCTTATTGGAGTAGGTTACTCAGTAAGGCCAGAACTTATGGCTGCAATTTATGGAGTGCAAAAATCTGTGGAGATCAGAATGGAGAAATTAATTATTGAAGGGGATCTGAAGGTGGTGATAAGTTGGTTGCTTAATAAGGAGAAGGTTTTAGGGATATTTATGAATGAGATTAAGGAATTTATATGGCTGTCAAGAAGCAGGCAATTGAAAATTTCATTAGGGGCCCAAAGAAATTTTACTTTGTAAAGTGGGACAAGGTGTGCAGGCCAAAAGGAAGAGGGGGTTTGGGGTTTAGAAGGGTAAGGCTCTTAAACAAGGCACTGTTGGGTAAATGGTTGTGGAGGTTTGGGTTGGATAGGGAAAGGGATTCTCTTTGGAGGAGCATAGTAGCTGGATAAATCTTACGGCATGAAGGGAGACCAGCTGGTGTGGAAGGGGATAATGAATTTTAACCAAGAGTTCAAAGCTTTGGTTAGGTTCAAGGTGGGGGGGGGGTCAAGGGTGGGAAGACGAGTAGTGTTGGACAAGGTTCAAAATTTCGATACGTATCAGGCCATATCGGTTGATACGTATCGTATCGGGAGCTTCCCAATACGCCCATCCAGGGGGTGTTTCGGGGTCTAACCCGGTTCAGGGCGTAGGCTGGTCTTAAACTGACCCCTCTGAACCAGGTTAAAGAAAAAAAACTAAAAAAAAGGGAGCGACTCACGATATAGTCCGATATGCCTACCGGTGTATTGGACTATATCGATATTTTGAACTTTGGTGTGGGATTGGGAAACTTAATGAGGTATGTCCAAGGTTATACAGGCTGTCTGAGCAGCAGGTAAGTGTAGATCATTGTTTTGACATGAAGGGAGACCAGCTGGTGTGAAGCCCAAAGTTTAGAAGACCCTCGAGGGATTAGGAAATTGAAGAATGTCTTCTACTGCTGGATAAACTCCAACAAACTAACTTCTCAATCACCACAAGAGACAGACTATGGTGGAAAGAGTGCAGAAATGGAAGGTTCACTATGAAATCTTTCTATTTGGTGCTGGTCAGGGCAGTGATTTAAAGGCACGCCAAGGTGCATAGGCAAGGTGCATTTTCAAAGGGTGTGTGGCTGGTGCGCCTAGTGTGCTAATGTTGCTCATTCTTTCATCCTAATAAAAGATAGTTTTAAAAGACACTTAAAGTTATAAAACCTTTCTTTTTTTATAGGGATTATGAATTTAAGACCCTAATATGGACTTGTTTGGGTTGGCCTCGAGGGGCTTAGATGCTTAGTACAAAGGTGGCTCGTAGAATTTGGGAAAAAATAATATTTATTTTAATTTGAGATAATAGGTTTTTAAGGCATTTATTTCAAAATTTAAGTTTATATTTTTAATTAATAATTTGTTTAATATTTTAATGATTTGCATTATTTGAATATTATGGCATTTTTTTGATTTTTGTTTTTTGCATTTTTGCATCTTGCTTCGAAAAGGGGTGTGCCTCACCTTGCGCCTTGTGCTTTGGGTGAAAAATGGCCCTTGCGCTTTTTTTGTGGCTTTTGCTTTTAAAACACTGGGTTAGGGAGCAGTTAGTTTCTGATCAAGTGGAAGGAGTGTGGGGGAGCATTGTAACCTCAAAGTGGAAGCTTTCGCTTGGTTAGTGGCTTTGGAGAGCATTGTAACCTCAGATCATCTGAAGAGTAGAGGTTTCTGCATGGCAAGTTACTGCTATCTTTGCTGCTTGGATCAGGAGACAGTCTACCATATATAAATAACTTACAGTTACTGTTGTATGCTTATTTAATATGGGACAGTTCTTGAACATAATAATAGAAGACTAAATGACATTACTACCCTTAATACTGATGCTATCTAACAGTGACTGTTTTGCATAATACATAAGAGTGGAACCCTAATCCTACTGTAAGTAGTATAACTCTACTTCCATACTTGGTCTTGCACATGTCATAAAGTGGCATAATTACTAAAACAACATCCTTCAACCTAGGTGAAAAGGCGTAAACACCATTGACATGAACATCTGTAAAGGCAAGGGTGTGAGAGTATCTCTACTATTGCTCTGGATGGTAGGATTATGATTTGTCAATTTTGATAAATCATTGAGAAGCTAACTGTTGCAATAGAAAAGTTTTCATGTATCATATACCTCTTCAACTTTAGCTCTCAGGAATCTGTACTTACGTCAGTATGTCAAACTACTGTAGAGAAGTTTCTGTTTTCGTTTCCTCTTTGGCTTCTTATTTTGCATTTTAGCATTCAATACTTGTTTGTTTTCCTTGTGTTTTTCTTGGAACATATAGTGATGTTGTCTTCTTTATCTTGTTGTGAGGACCATGACATAAATGTGCCTGTTTATGTCTTGACAGTTTGTTGCTTTTACGGTGAAACTACAAGTTCTTGCCTTGAATTTAGGTGTTCAATCCAGCTTTGCCAGGAAAGAAGAGATTATTCTTAGTTGACTATAGGTGATTTGTTTTTTTCTTTTTTTTTTTTGTTGTTGCAGGGAGGTGATTGAAAGTATGATGAAGGTGGGTGAATTTAATGCACGCTGGAAACAAATGGAAGTAGTTCTGGAAGCTGCAGATCTTGGTAAACAAAATGCTGAATCTGAGGCCATTTTGGCGAAACAGAAGGCAGATGAATTGGTATCAGAAATTAAGCGGCTTGAACTAGTTGTAAGTTTTAGATGATATATTCTTTAGTTTAACTTACATGCTCGGTTGGTAAACTTATGCTTCCCATGCTTAGATTGTCCATTTTTGTCATGCACAAAATTATTGCACCTGTCAGGCAGGTTTTCCTTTATCCACATTTTTTGCCTTGTTTTCTTTGTTAATGAGGAGTCATTAATATGCCAATTGCTTCTTTGTTTTTTGTTCTTTTTCATTCATAAAAGGTATATGAGAATTCTATGTTGACAGTAATTGGTTACTGACTTTTGTGATAAGTTCTTGTATATTTTGATTATTCCCCAATTTATGCCACCTTTTGGTTACTTATCTTCTAGTCTTACTATGGGGCCTTGAGATATCCTTTGATAGTTTTCAAAGATATGATTTCAATGGTTCATCTATGATTAATTGTTTGGGCTTTTGGTTATTGTTAAATGTTATATAAGTTGTTAGTTAATATTTTTAAGTGATCCCCACCATCTTATTTTTCAATTGATCTTTTGATATGAGTTATCTTGGATGACTCTTTTTAGCTCCTGCTGTATGGCTACTTGTTGTACTGGGCCTGGTTGCATCCAAACACACCTTTTTGATATACTAATGTACTTTGTGGTATGCAAATACAAATAGATTTACTGTTTAAAGATAATTGATTCAAGTATTCGAAAATTATTTATATATTGAGTATTGACATTGCCCTCTTATCTTGCTGGCTTGAGTTGAGCACATCTTTCCTCTGGCTTTGGATTCTCATTTCCTATCCATTCACATGTTTGATTAATAGCTGTGAAACAACAATTATTTGATTTGAACTCTGGAACGCTGTTATAGATTGTTAATAATGTTTACATTGCATTCTGTGAACTTTGTTTAAAGCCTATCATTTTACAAAGAACTGTTGTACCTATAAGTCAAAGTATGCAATTAGTGTACAAAGAAGTGCTAATAAGGAACACTGATGTTGAGACTTGGTATGTAACATCAGGGAGCTAATGCTGTTATAAGTAAAGAATAAGACCATCAACATTAACAAATAATAACAAATCCAATTTAACTAGAGAGCATGTGTGGGTTGCTGAATGCATAGAATGGGGGGATAAATTAGTGCTATGTGCTTGTAGTTATGAGCATACCATGCCAGTAGGGGTGGGCATTTGGTTTATTAAGTGAAAAACTGAACCCTTACATGGAAAACCGAACCGAAAACCAATATAGCTAGAACTGAAAAAACTGAAGCAAAATTTTTAGTTATTTCAGATATAACTGCATTTCGTTATAATATATTATATTATAATATATATTCTGTATATAATATATTATATTCAACATAAATTAATATGCTTATATATATTATATATGTAAGGAAATTTGGTTAATTCTGTTAATCAAATTTTCAATTATGAAAAGTTGAAACTGAAATACGCAAAAACTGAATTAGCTGAACAGAAATAACCAAACCGAAGAAACTGAAACTGAAATTTTGGCTTCGGTATTTCAGTTTTAACTGAATAATGCTCACCATAACCCTAAATCATGGTAATTTATGTCGATTTCCATTTTGTATGGGATCCATAGTTTTCACCTTGGTCACCCTTCTGTTCCATCTTTTGAAGCATGAGGTTTTTGCTTACATTGTTTCTATCATTGGAGGAAAGTTAGATGGTTGTTCACTTTTGACCTGCGCTCAGCAGCTCTTCGTCTAAATGGGGTGAAACCAGAAGATATACCCAGGAATATAAACATCGTTTTTGAGTGAGTGTTCTATCTGGTGTGGTTGGCGACCTCCATTGAAGTAGCTTTGTGGTTGGAGGCTCGCAGAAGGGAAGATGAAGGGTTTGAAGTGGATTGGTTTCGTGGGAAGCAGAGATTGCTGAATTTCAAACAGGATAAAGCTTTCTCAGATATGGAGGGGCAAAGCGAAGAAGTGTCAAAAGATGGAAGTCGAAGAGTCAAGATGACTGACCTAGGGAAGCCCAAGGGTGTTGCATGTGACAGGTGTTTTCCTCTAAAGGTCAGTGGTGAAGGAGAGAAGTGAGTTTTGTTGGTGGCCAAGATGTGTGGTAAGAAGATAGACAGTTGGGGTCCTAGTTCAATTCGAATTAAAGCCACTGGGTCAGCTGGTACTGAACTGGTAGCTTCGAAAGCAGGAGATATTGTTCTGGGTAGCAAGGTTGGACTGGTTTTAACTAGTTGTGGGCCTGATAAGTTCGAAGCATTGGCAAGGCCACATGACAATTTAAGTGAGCATGTGAGTGGGAGGGATGCTAGTACATTGTTTGACCTTTCTTTGGGTCTTTGACGTCTGTCCTCATCCTCTTCTAAACCTATTACAGCAGTGTGTTTGCAGCGAAGGAGAATTTTGAACAGGATCTTCTTTGGAAAGAAATGGAGGAACTCTTTGTTATTTAAAAGAAGTAGGCCTATAGGAATCAAACAGCTCTCATTAAAGAAGTTTGAAGGGGGAGATGAATTATCTTGCAAAGAGGGTGGTTGGATGGTAGATAGTTTTTCTAGAGCTGATGTTCCAAGCAATTTAAGTGTTGTCGTGAATGAATCTCTCTTGTAGGAGAAGAACCAGGAGCAGGCTAAGAAGTTTCTTAGGTTAGAATCTCTGGAGCCCATGGACAACAAACAGAGTCCTGGCATTTTGTTTAAAGATAACAGTTGTGTGTCCACTGGAGATATTTTAGGGGAGGCGCAGAGGGTTTTATGGAATAATAGAACAGAACCTGAAGATCAAATATACCTGGAAGATGCAGGCAGAGTTAGGGAGGAAAACCAAGAGACCAACATTTTATTTAAAGAGCTAAGAACAACTTTGGCTTTGGCCATTGAAGACTCATTTTTGATCTCTGACTTTAGTGACTTGAATATGGAAAAAGAGGAAAAAAATTGCTCCATCGAAAATGAATTTCCACTGGGGCAAGGGGTCTCACCAAATCATCCCACTGTCACACAGATTTTTATTGGAAAGTTAGGGGTGGATTTAGGAAGGAAAAAAGAGAAAAATATGTTAGAAGGGAATGTTAAACCTTTGAGGATTAAGGCTGTGTCGAAAATGGCCAAAATTCCAAACAATGGACAATTAGTTCATGTTACAATTGTTTTTCATTGATTTAAGTCAGGCATTTTTGGGTTGGTCCTTGCAGTAAATTCAAGAGAACATATAAGAGAAGGGTTGTGAAGACTAAAATTAAAGGAAAAAACTCTGCTGCAAGTAGCATCCGTGATAAGTAAATGATTAAGGTTGAAAAAGAGGATGTGGGACTTCTTCATAAAGGTCAATTTTTTAAAAGTGCAAGGTGCAAAAAATCCGCAAGGCACAAGGCGAGGCACAAGCCTGTTTGAAGGATGGCGCAAAAATACCAAAAATGCCAAAATAGTTCAAAAAATGCAAAAAATTAAAAGGGGAATTTACCGCCCAGCCAGGGGCATAAAAAATACCTCCACAAGCACTGTACTACTTTAGAAATCTCCCAATTTTATACCATGCAAATACAAACTTCCGTCAACTCCACTGGCCCACACCCACGTCACCCCCAATCCTGTCATATTATAAGAAATACCTGAAATACCCCTGGTACCCACTTGATTCTCGACCCTCTAAGACCCCCTTTTCCTCATCTTTTCTCTCTTCACCAGGGTTGTCTTCCCCTGAACCAGCTTCCTGTCTCCTTTCTTCCACCTCTCTTCGGAAGGAACTTTCTAGTTTACCTTTATTAGTGATTTAACAGATGCGCCTAGGCGCTCAAGCAAGGCACATATTAAGGTATGTGCTTGGCCTAGGCCTTAGGCCCAACACTTTTAAAAGACGCGCACCCGGTGCGCCTAGAGGGGCTTTGTACAAACACGGCTCATAAAATTAAGAAATTCAAATTATAAAATCATTTATTTTGTGTAAGGATTAAGAATTTAAGACACTAAACTGGACTTGTTTGGGCTTCCCTTGAGGGGCTTAGTACAAACACGACTTGTAGAATTAGGAATCCAAGATGTTTTACATCACATTAGTTATTTGAAGTAATATAATTGAGGAAGTAAAGAAGTTGCGGGTTTTAGATGCTTCAAAATGTATTTTTTATGTTTGATTTTGCTTTTAAATTTTCATTTGAATATGCTTTATATTTTTTATTAATATTTTGTTTAACATTTTTAATTTGGGGAATTTACCGCCCAACCAGGGGCATAAAAAAATACCTCGAAAAGCTCTGTACTACTTTAGAAATCTCCCAATTTTATACCTTGAAAATACAAACTTCTGTCAACTCCACTGGCCCACACCCATGCCACCCCCAATCCTGTCATATTTTAAGAAATACCCAAAATACCCCAGGCACCCACTTGACTCTCGACCTTTTATAGAAAAACCCAGGAATACCCCTCGCATCCCGTTGCGATTCAGTTAATTTTCTCTCTCCTCCCAACGTCCTTCAATTCTTTTGTTCAATGGCGCTCGTTTGAAGAAGACGATAGAGTTTCTGCAAGCGGCAGGGCTGGCACTTTCCTTCCTGTTGGACAAGGCATAAAGTTCTGCAAAGAGAACCTTGCAGAGGACTAAGATGACAGAGGTTATTTAAAGGGGAATTTTTCTTATTTAAAGAGAACTTTGTAGAGAAGCATTCGAACGCCAAACTTGTTCATACAATGTAAGATTCTAACTCTCTTTTTTTCTTCCTTCTTTGTCATTTTTTCCATTTTCACTATTTTTTTTATCTTTATTATTCTTTGTAACTCCCGCTTCCCTTCATCTGTCTCGTTGGGACGGCAACGACAACCTGAGCAGCGGCAACAATTTTTTCCCCCGTTTTCTAAGTTATGAATCAAACTAATATCGTGTAATAACACTAACTGACCTAGTGGTCATCATATTTGTTAGGTATTATGGTCTCTAAATTGAAATAGCGACATACTGTTCTTTCTACATTTATGTCTCACTTTTCACATGTTCTTCCAATTTTTTTATCTTGTTTAGTTGTTACGAATGGAGGAACCCTTTGAGATTG